TCTGCTTTAAATCGTGGTGCTGGATCGACAGCGAATTTCCTCACGATTAATTGAAGAGAAAGCCGCATTAATTTACTTTATCATTCATCCCAAGAAGCCGTAGACTAAGTCTTCGACTTGATCTCGGCCGCATTTGCACTCCCAACGAGATTCAGAGACGAGTCACTGGCAATATGGCAACATGTTACTCAGCTACACCTAATGTGAATAAGTTATCATTCAAGAATTATTGAAGGTCTGGAGACACACTAGCAGAGAATATAAGTATCTTCGTCGATTGTGATGTTTGCCTCATAGACAACTCCACTATTAAAAGTGTGATTTAGGATGGCCCCAGCTTGCCCTGAAAGTTACAGCCGACAAGTGTCACAATTCACACGAGCCGGGTACGAATCCCATCGGAGGTGGTTATCAGACGGTGGAGGAGTCGGAAATGCAATCCATCATCGTAGGTTGGGAAACCTTCTGAGATGTAAGGTTAGGGTCTGTTAGGCCTACTTACACAATCGAAGGAGTCACTCTACTATCGGTCCTTGAATCACACCAAGCAACTTTGGGTGAGTAAGTTCTTAGACAAGAATGACCTTCTGCATTTCGTGTTTAGGAGGCACGCCTTACAACCCGCCCTGGTGTGAAATCGTGGCAGAGCTGCATCCCTCTGACCATCTGCTAGATAGGCCCCAACGAATAAGTAAGGCCATGCTTTCTAATAGTCGTGAGACTTTAAGAAAAGTTTCCTTGCCTCCTTCTGCACGTGGAGGTATCCGGCATCCACAAAATTGGGCCTTATTAATAAAATATGTGCGTAGATAAGAAAGCCAAGAAGAATAGACATGTATAAAGACTAGTTTTAGAAGAATCTCTTATAGATTGATGTTGGAAAAGCTTTCATTTCGTTCCGAGGCGAGTGAAGGAGTTTCGTAGGTTATTCTCACGGGAAGTTAAAAAAAAGTCGCCTTGGAGCTGTGACCGTAGATTTATGCGGATAAGCCCTCGGCGACCCCGATTAATCCCTGTTGAGCCTTCACCCGCCGTGTGACGGACATCACCAGAGCAGGACACCATGTTTTACGATAATCGACCAAAACACGAAGACGAGAAAGGTGCGCCAATGACTTATTTAAGCAAACTTACATTAACAGCTCCGAGGCGACCCCTCTTCGACTTCCGGTTAGACCAACTTACGAATCCCTTCCACTCACCTCTTCAAACGAAATGAAAGGTGAAGAGAAAATGAGGAATATTTCCCTAAACAAGCTTGGTGGTCCCAGAAAGGGGAGATTGGATGCCATCATTTGTTGTTTACACTAATTCATTTTGAGGAGGCATAATTGCGCAGAAGCAGTATAAGAATCGATGTGCCTTCGTTGGCTCGCTAAAGTTGTCAAGAGGGACTTAGCCAGATCAATAAAACGAGTGACTGAGCGGTCCAAAATATGACTTTCGGCAAGAATGCTGAATGAAGGGGGTCAGCTTGCCTCCCTTTATGAATGAATCAATAAATCATTGTACTCTTGAAAACAGAACAACTTGAAGATAATCACGAATTGAATTTGGCATGAAGTAAAAATTGACACAAAGCGGCAGAAAATATCTCAAATAAGAGGGTCTACATGACGCGTAATTTCTGCGTCTTCTGGCAGGGGCTGTAATATAGTATATAGTTGTCCTAAGCCACATTAGCACATCCACTGAAACCCGGACCTAAACTCTAGTCAGTCGGGATGTGATTTGGAGCGAAATTCACTGGCAATTAGACATTCACCGACTGTTTTAAGGACCCTAAGCCATCAAAGATGGCACAAGATGATTCAAGACTAATCGTGGAATTTTGCACAATAAAATAAGTAATCTAACGATGCCATTAAGTATCATTCAGTCTTGCCCCCTAAAATATTTTCTTGATAGAACTGGACTAAAACTGCAAATTGACTTTAAACGAGGTCAGGCGATTCAAATGGCAACCCGTTACCACTTCGCCAAACAAGCACGTATGCCCTTCTGACAAAGGGAAGATGCGAATTCATTTAAATGCAAAATTAAACTATCAGCCTTACACCAACAAGGTCTATTGAGAAGAGCCGTGACTAGTTTGAATATAACGTCATGCGAGAAACGACAAAGTTATGGAGCCTCTACTCCACTTAGGAGTTTTACTAATTTGCCGATATTTTTGCGTACTGGTTAGCTTCTCTAACCCTCAAAGGGTTATATAGCAAACATAGAGAGTAGTCCGAGGCCCAGCCGTCTACTCTTTTCTCTCGCCTCCGACAAACTCCTGTGGCATCGTCGCAGTCACTTTTCTTAGTTTTCAAGATCTTGTCATCCCGAAAGCAATATCCGTCACGAAAAGCACATTGGCTAGTGGGAGTAGCAAAAATTCAGAATTTGATAGCAAATTATCTTTGTCCGTTTGGTTTTCATTAAATTGTCTTGTGTTGCCCTTCCATTTTGGGGGAATGAGAAAAATCGGATTATCCATGGATAGATATGACTTACTATCATTCTTGGTTACGGCGCAAAAAAGACTTCGAGTATATGACCGAAAGCCATCGCTGAGGAACATCCAACTAATGACCGAGAGAACAAAGATACGAGATACGAGAAAGGGAACAACAAAGATTCTTTATTTCGTGTTTCCGGGCGTATCCTCTGAGCATGTAACCACCTCGGATACAAATAATTTCGTTAGAAATACTTCATTTTGCGTGGCCAGCCCGAGATAATCGGGATTAATTACTTCTACACTCCGGACAGTGAGCTTTAAGTACATTATCACTCATTGCTTCAATGAAAGAATGTGTCGGCTTAAGGTACAAACAAACAGCAGTTTTGAAAAATTTCATTCTTTTATGGGTATTGGAGATATTAGGTTAAGTATATTGCAATGGGCTCTTTGAGGGCAGAATAGGGGAATCTGACAAAAGTGAAGCTAAAGCGAGTATCATCAACACTAAGTTATATAATGATCGCAAAACTTAAAAGATATTTTAAGTAAAATAGAGGCCAAGTGCCCCATGACCCAAAAAGTGGATAATGCCTATGGAGACGGTAGAGCCTCAGTTGATAATGTGCGATCGTCCCTAGCTGCCACGAAGTGAACTATGACTTGCCGGATTTCCCCTATACAACGATCAAAATCATAGTATAGTCTACTATATTAGGGGGAAAAACATTTATTGTTATTGCTTCTCGTTACTCACTTAAGTCAACTGTTGCGCCGAGATTATCGATGTTGGAGATAAATAGCCATTCTTTGCCCTGATTTCGAAACTCATCGGCTAAAGAAGACCGCAGAAAGCTCCGGTATATATCGCCGTGACCAGGTGGATACCAACCTTCATTGTTGGACAAATTCGTGGCCGAATCACAGGCTGAAGACGCGCTGGCATTGGCTGGAGAGGGCTCTTCAACTTCAGTTTTAACCTTGAGACTAGATGCAGTTTTAGAACCAAACACGGTAATTCCGTTTATGTCATTCACAGAGCACCGGGCCTCTCGACGAAAAAGTGAACTGCATTCATGATGCATAACTCTTGGAATAGGAAGCAACGACTCGCGACTTAAGCGGGGGTACCTGAGAAGAATCAGATAGAGCAACAATAAGTAAAAAAGATAGTAAATCCGATTTTAAGGAATAGTTGGCAAAAGCCAATCTGGTTTATATTCGCGAAGTCGTAGCTACTAGTGACAGCTAAAGCCTGATTCGAATATGGCGATAGGGCTTATCTGGAGAAACAGAGATAAGCGTTATCAGGACAAAACGACGCTCTCATCTGCCTAAATAGCCAATAAAACTGAAGGATTAAAAGCAATTTCTTCACAAAAATCGAAAGCATATGGGCTGACCTAGTTTAAGCTCAGGTTGAGCAAAACCTGTTTCCACCACAAAACAGAGTAAGTGAATTGGTAATTAGATAATAGAAAAATATACAGGATGATAGATAGCTTAGAAGAGAGCAGCAACGAAAAAAATAAAAAATACTATGCATGCGAGCAAGCTTCAATGATGCTGAAATGTAAGCAGATCTCGACGACATGATACAATTTTAAGATAGGGAATTTCTCCCAATTTGCTTGTGATGGAACGACTTCGCCCTTGTCCAGTCTCATTAGTTTAGAGTGGCGGCCAGATCGTGTGGCTCTAATGTCGTGCCTAATAGATCTCTAGCCAAAATAAATACTCACGTCATTAGTCGAACGAAGCCAAAATTTCGCTTGATTCTAATGAATGAAATGAGTTAGAATTGGGCCATAGTTGATTTTTATAAGTTTATGAAAGATGTCTAATCATTTAGGGGAGTATAGATTGTCCCAAGTCATAGGGCCAATCTTTATACTTGCCTCTTCATAGAAGGGCTAGACTACTGGGCAATTGTGGCTGAGCTCGATACTTGGGGCTTCGATAATAAGTTGAAGACGAAATCCACCAATTGTGCTAGTCAAACACTGAATAACCATGGAGAAATTTTATAATCTCGTATAGGTGCCATCACCCACATCGGAAACCAGACTTTGGTGATTTAAAGTTAGAAACAAATATTTTAGCTCCTTTACCGCACAGCCCGGACCCAGCAAGCTACATTGTGTATAACTTCTAAACCCAAAGAGATCACTATCACTTTATATCCATATAGGGAAATAATTATAAGATAAACCTGTACTTACGATTGCGTTCGAAAACAGATAAGAATTGATCGGCTTTGGATTTACACAAACGCTATTAGCCACAGAAGGATTAGGCCCAGAGATACTGAACTACTGAAGATATGCATTTATTCTGATTTGGATCCTCCAAATAGTCCTGAAACTGAACTTATTAATAAGTTAGGTCAATTTTTGTCAATAAATGGAATACCACTACATAAATTGTCAGTTCAACAAAATTGGTGGACTGGCCCTAGTACAAGCTAAAATAACTAAGCTAGAGCAGGAATACACTATAAGAATAAGTAAACACCTCAAGAAAATAAAAAAATGATATTTAGAGTTGGTGACTCCACGTCCGGTGTAGTGGTATCATAATAATAGAATAAAATTTATTCATATATAAATTTTAAAATTTTACGTTTAAAAATAAAAGAAGATATCTAGAGAAACTGGATTTCAAAGGATCCCTTAGCAAATGGATATTGATCTACCTTCTATTTCGTTGGAGAAAGCAGGTAGAAGGGATTCGTAGATCAGTCGCACCGGATATCGATGGAAGGTTGCCTTGGACGTTTTTCTGATGAATTTTGCAAATAAAACATCGGATCACCGTCCTACGACCTAAATGACTCCGTGCTGAGCTTTCGTCCGTCATGTGATGGATATCATCAGAGCCAGAAACCATTATTCACAAACAATCACCAAAAACGCTAAACCAAGAAAGGTATGTTTTTTGGGTTGATGAGAGCTCAGCACGGTGTAATCGAAGTCGTAGGACGGTGAGCTGAGGTCTTTGTCGCACAATCCCACAAAAAATCCAATGTAACCTTTCTTTAGCAACGAATGAGAATAATCTATGAATCCCTTCCACCCACCTCAAACGAAATACGGTTGCAAGTTATGCATGCTACATGTACACAGGCCCCAGGTCATTCGTTCTCCTATTCTCTATTGGCATGAGGACTCACCATGTTAAGGAAAGAAGCAAATAAGATTAAGAGTACTTTTGAGGGGCCTCTTGACATACACCTGTTGAACTTGCTTCTATTTCGAGTGAAAGCATATGGTGAAGAGATCATTAAACCGATCCCACAAGATGCCAGTGAATTCCTTGTGATCGGTTATAAATAGGATTTACTAAAGCTGTCCTCGAAACAATCTCCTGCGGTCTTGGCGAAAACGTGCTGAGCCTTTTGACCGGTTAAAATGGATGAATTTTAAGAAGATACTCTGCTCTCATGATACTTGCCATATTGCAAACGAGTTTAGTAAATTTTGATCGGAAAAGGAGATTGCATCGAGGTCACAGTTGGCTGGGAAATTCCAGAAAAGCTAAATGACAGCTTCGTTTTCTGGTGGAATCGACATTCGAATCTCTTTATCAAAAACTTTAATCCGAAGTGGATACAAGTCCAATAATCAGAAAAGAATACCGATGAGCGTGTGCGCACATATGTGCATTTCAGCTTGATTTTTAGACTCGAGGCCCGGTAATTTTCAGAGTTAAGCGATTGGAATAAAAAAAATATAGATCCCAGCTTACATGCTCTGAAGAAAGGAATATATAGTAACATTGACCTTCTGGTATTTCCGTAAGACCTTTTCCGTCTCTTCCCGAGTGTTAAAAGAATTCATGAGGACAAGAGGCACCGTACAGCCGTAGGTATTATTTAGTTTCTGGAATGGGATTACATTCAATTGGATAAATGCTCGTAGTTAAATTTGGTTGCCTCGATTGCTTCAAGGCTAATAATCAAGGAAGAAAGAAATATAAGCTCAAGAAGATAAGATAAAAATATAAAAAATTGTACGTAGCTTGGGGATTACTTTCAGTCTATTTATAGCCGACACAAAATTGAAAAAGTGCATTGTGATTACGCTAAATTTTTTTTACTTCAACTAATCAATAAACATGACTGAGCTATTAAAGGCATATTTCAGTTTTCCCAGAAACGGCCAATTTGTCAAAAACGCAATATATTTCGTTTATTTAGTAACTATGTCCAAAATCGTCTATATAGGCCTTAACGATAAAGTTAAACAAACAAGTAACATACATACACAAATCTCAAACCAATTATAATAAAGGCAAGGTCTTTAAAAAATGCGAGTCA